AGCACTGAATTATGTACACCAAAACTAGAACCAATAACAAGCACTGAGTTATGTACACCAAAATTAGAACCAATAACAAGCACTGAATCGTGTATACCAAAATTAGAACCAATAGATGAAGGTCTGAATCCTGTAAAACTTGAAGAAGGAAATGTTCAAACGTTTTTAGCTAATACAGACCCTAATATTAGTGATATTAAAGTAACAAACTCATTAATTAAGAGTGTAAAATCTGAAAACATATCTGATCAAAATTCTTCTGAAAATAATGCCTTTAATTATTTTACTGATACTGAGACAAATCATGTTGTAACTGCTGATATAGAAAATAAAGATTTGTTATTATTGCAAGTCGAAAATCAATTGGTATCAAACAATGAAGAGAATAATCAATGTCTAGAAATTTCCAATGTTTATTCACTTCAAAACGAATATCCAGTTGATAATTTAAATGGTGAAAAGAGGCCAGAGATTATTGATATATGTTCTCACCAAGTTGGCAATGGTCTCAGTGAAATAGAAAATAATCAAAGTAAACTAAATATTGCTGATATTTATTCTCAACGAGAAGCTGTTATAATAAGTAGTGTTACCCAAGATAAAAATAGCACAAATCTTGAAGAAGGTAATCAGTGTATTAATGCACTAAATACAATAGATAAAACTGTATGTATAAATAAATCTGATAATAATATGTATTCATATATTGCAGCATTAGAACCACCTAAAGCACTAGTTAACCCTGTTTCATTAAAGAGAAAATGTGAAAATTCAATTGAAAGTGTGAAAAAACAAAGACTGAATGAAACAAACAGTTCCTATGATATTAAATCTACAGGCGATGATACCACCAGCAATAAAAATATTACTCATCCAAGTACAACTTCATCGAATATTTTGAATATGAGTTCTGATTGTAGAAATGAACGCGTCCCAAATGTTGATATTGGTGGTGAAGATCATCTCCCTAAAAATGTGGAAAAAGAATCACTAAAGCCACATAGTAATGTGCCATCAATTTATTTAGAAAAAGCTTACAGTTTGGATCCAAGTGATGTGAGTCTAATACAGTTTAAACAGTTTAAACAGGCATCCAAAAAAGTTACAGATTTTTACAATAAAAAAAAATCTTTTAGAAATAGGGTGAAAAATGTTCTGTTAGATAAAGATACATCTGATTCTGACAGTATACCAGAATCCATAATTTTATCAGATTCTGAAACTATTGTACCAGATACTGACAATTTATCAGATTATGGAGACTTTTCTGATACTGGAAGTGAATATTCTTTGAATGCTCCAGATTTTGATGCTAAAGAAACTGATTATATGATTGTTGGGAATAATATAGATTTAGATTCTGACAATGAAATAGTAGATTTTGAAATAAAACCAAATCATAGAATAGAAATGGATTGTACATCTGTACCTAATAGTAAAAACTCACCAGATGATGAAATGTTGTCGATTAATAAAAATATAGCTCTATTAAAAAATCTGAAAGAATTAAATTGGAAAATTGTGTCTGATGATGTAAATGATTCTGAATGTGTGATTGTATCTGATGATGACATTGATCTTTCATCTAGTGATAAAGAATCCCTGTGTATAATTATATCTGATGATGAAACTGAATCACTGTCTGGTGATAAAGAGTCACAATGTATGATTATATCTGATAGTGAAGAGGAATCC